TTTTGGCACTTCTCCGGTTGGTATGTTCTGCAACAAAGGGAATGCCTCAACCTGAGTCGAAATTAGCCGTCCAGGGAAGGTACGAACTGCAGCACAGAGGAGAAAGAACAAGAATAAACAACGAACGCGCACCGATGAGGTGCTGCGGGATCGAGCCTCCAGCTTCGCGGCAGCATCAGAAGTTCATAATATCGTGCAGCTCCATAGTCAAGTTTTTCGTATTGTTGTCTTGGAACCTGGATCTGGGGTCACTGTTTCAAGCCCTCATGCAACCTTGCCGACCCGTACCATTCCGTGCTAAACCTTCCCCAACTCCTCCGAGACATACAATGCAAGCATGAAAAAACCTCATCCTTTTTCGAGTGCTTGTAGAAGAATAGCACCGAAATCCCTTGTAAATGCATCGAAAAGCCCGAACTAACTTTGCATTTCGTGCAGAATCCTTACGAAACGCTATGAAGTCAGTTCTTGTAATCCAGCTTTTCAGTGCTTCGATCTTGCAGAATCAGGAATTCCGGAGTTTTCTGGAACTGCTGAACTAGCATGTCTGATCACCGCGTGACCACTCCCTGAGCTTGAGACTTATGAAGCTTCGTGAGGTGCTTCGATCTCGCGGGACAGGCGCCGCGTAAGAAATTCGGTCGCGTGACTTTGCTTCCCCCACTGGCTCCTATCAGCGCAACATGATACAAGCGTAATGATTACCGTAATGGCGTAATCAGCATAACCCGTGCTAAGTTGGGAAGGGCTTCAGAGGGCAAGAAGTTGCCCATCCGAAATCCTGATTTCGCATGCGCTGTTCCCAGACACGACGTCTCATCAGTTTGTAACCAGGATCAACATCACCATCATCATCATCATCATCATCATCATCCTCATCCTCCTCCTCTTCATGATCATCATCATCATCATCATCATCATGATCATCATCGCGGGTAGGGGTCGGGGGGGGTTGGGGGTTGGGTTTGGAACATGGCTGCTAAGCGGAAAAGGCTGCATCGGTTCACGGCTTGAGCATCTCTATTCTTCAGTTGGGATGTTGACGTAATGCAAAGAGCTTGCCTTTTTCAGGGCTCGGGCGTCCGGACTCATTCAGAGCCAGGCCCAGCGCCTCCCGTGGGTGCTTAGATCCCGGCAGATGATTATGTTGACCAAGAAGAAGAATGAGAACGATGATGATGCTGCTGATGCAGCTGCTGATGATGATTCTAAGAGTCTAAGATGGTATGCTCTGGGGGAAGTCATGGGCGCGGCTTGACTTGACAAGGGCAGTTCCACGCTTGAGAGGTCGACTTCGATTCGAAGACTCGATGTTCTGCCCCGAGCCTTTGGGTCTTGGAAAAGACATTGGTGTCGCCAGTCGCAGCTTCCATGGCGGAACTTGAGGCTTCGCTTCCGGAGCCGGGCTTTCAGATGGAGGCCGTGGAGTCGGTGGAGTTGAGACTCAGAGACCCAGCCTTAGCCTTCGTCTCCCTGTCGCTATCTCTCACGCTCGCTTGCCCTCCCTCTTCTCTCCACCCTGCTCATCCCTGCTCCGTCATTATCAGCACGAAACATCGGTCTCGGTGGATGCTGGGGTAGATAATCCCATGAATGACCGCACGGACGGCGAGTTCAGAAGCATCCTTCGTGAGTTGGGATGGGCCGCTTGGTGTCAGGTGAAGCACTTTGCCGGAGTGGTTTGCACACCATGTGTGGCTCTTCTGCTGTCTTCAACTCTCACCCCGCTGCGGTCCAACAGCCTGATATTCACAACAAAAGTGGGTCTTGATCGAGCCCTGTGTCCCAAAGCAAGAAAGAGAAAAGGATAGTCAGAGAAGCGCGCGAAGGGGGACAACCCTCTTGTCCCTAGCCCTGGCGAAAGAAAGAGAAGCGCGCGCGGTGAGGGGGGACTACCCCTTCACCACAGCCCCGGCGACAGAAAGAAGCAACCTTACACGGCATTAGGGCCAGAGACACACCGTCCGATGAGTGTAAAGTGTAAAAGAGTCGACGAAGATCAATGAACGCGCACCGGCAGGAGGGCCCTTCGGGCACCCTGGCGGCCCCACCGGAGCATGAATGAGAATCAACGCACATGAATGACTATGACTGAAACGGAGTGTACGGAGTGGGTGTGCAAAATTACAGTAGACAAATCAGTCAGTGAGAACAACCTATCGCAAGATCAATCACTTT